GAGCACATGGCTGACATAACACGCCATCAGTGGGGGATGTTACACTGGGCTATCTTCCTACTGATCTTTCCTGGCAGAGTCAGCGGTAATGACCGATGTTCGTCGAAACTAGCGTCATGAAGACCTCGTCAATAAGTCCAAGTCTCTTAAGAAACGCACCATCCAGAAGGGTGTTCCAGAAACTGTGTTCAAGTGAGAAACCGGCGTGCGGGACATCCCAAATCGTGGCTACCACCGGATTATCTTGGATAAAAGTCAGTTTGACCCTACAACACTCTTTGCGGGAGCAACTTCGACGTTTGGATACCGTGGAACCAACTCGTTTGAAGGGACCAATCTTGCTACGGTCAAGGATCAAATTGCACACCTTCCCCAAAAGATCCGTAAGGGCCTCCTTCCGGAAAAAAGCACGAATCGATCTCGGATGACATCCAGGCGACGGCTTCCAAACATTTTCACTAAGAAGGATAGACTCTTATCCACATACGTAAGTCATTCGTATTCTCCCAAACGTTTTCGCATATAAACTTCCAAAATACACGAGATTTTCATGTCATCCGACGTATCATCCTCCGTAGATCCATAATTCTTTTAAATCAGAAAGGTTCAAAACAAGTTATGTTCTTTCGCATAAGATAACAAACGTCGATCATCCTTCTAAACGTTAGTTTCTAGGATGATCATCGCCCGCTTGCAACTTTGAAAACGCACTCGCGCGTCTTGATTAAACTCGTAAAGTAATGATCCTCAATTGAGCGGGGACACGGGTAGCCATTCTGGATCGTCATAAATCTTCCATTTGACTAGGTACTCCCGACACCTTTTAGACGTCCGAGTTTTCTTAGACCATCGAAGATCCAAAATCTTCTCAACCTCGTACTCATTCTTTTGGGCATCGCCTTCCCAACTGTCCTCTGGGAGTAATGCAACATCAAAATCATCTTCTTCATCCACATCCACAGTGACCGTTGGTCTTTTAGGAAGCAAGGCTCTTGGTTTCAGACGGCTGATATGAACCCATGGATTGACTCGGTAACCAGTACTGTCAAATTTGAGCTTCAATCTGAAATCATCTAGTACTTCATCAATTCGAAACGGTCCATGTCATAAGTGCGCCAACTTCTTGCATAGTCCAGTCTACAGTTTTGGAATGTACAACCATACAGCGTCCCCTTTCTGAAAACCTATTTTCAGGCGTTCGGACAACTCCTTCCACTTTTGCGTTTGGATATCGGAGCGATGTCGTCGAACTTTATTCCGCAAGTCCTCGGCACACGCTGTCACATAACGATAGTCTTTCTGAACTTTTCGTCCCCACTCGTAGGCAGTTCATTCGGGCACACTTGATGGTGTTGGACCCAGCATTGCTTTCAGAGTACTTTGCGGATCCCAACCATGAATGAGGTAGAATGGGGTATCCAAACGTGTCCCGTCAAATGAAGTGTTGAGAGCAAACATCAACCTTTTCCCATGGTCATCCCAGTTGCTTTAGTCTGCAGGTTCAATGTAGGCCGTATACTCCTGACGACCTTCTATACAGATCGTTCATGTTGCCCGTTTGCTTGAGGTCGGTATCCCAAAGTGGCTATCTGGCGGCTATTTAGAAGCTCTCTAAAGCGAGTAAAAACATCGCTCATAAATTGGGGGCCTTGATCGTGTCGAATCATCGAATTTGCTCCAAAGTTCCGAAATACACGTTCTTCGTAAGCTTCCGCGACATCTTGAGCGATGGTTGAATCCATCGGTTTGTACATCACATATCCGGAAAACATGTCTTGGAGTAGTAGCAAAAACGTATTCCCTCGGTCCGACTTCGGCATGTGCGTCACGAAGTCTATCGAAACAACTTCGAAAGGTTGTCGGGGTTCGATATTTTCAGGGGTTGGTCCAGCGTTTGGAGGTTTTCCTTTTCCACTCGCACAATCAACGCACTCCTTCACAAAGTGTTCAACATCCGCCTACATACCAGGCCAATCGAATTTTGAACATAACCTCTTATGGGTCCTGGTGATGCCTTGATGACCTCCTTGGTAATCTTCGTGACAGTAACGTAAAATATCGTCCCGGAGCGCTGTTGGAACGACGAGTCGGGGTTCATCCTGAAAGTCACGCGGGCAATCACGAGTCGAACGAGCTAATCGATACTACACGTCTCGAGTATCAAGCACAAATAGGTCAGCAACCTTGGCGACCTTTCTCAGTTTTCTGGGCGACAACTTCTCGATGTCCTCCTTCAGAAAGTTCTTGATCTCTGACAGGTACTCATCCGCGTCTTGATGCACCCGAATGCGTCGCCATCGTTCAGCTTGGAATTCCAAAGGGTCCAAGGGTCGGTTCCTCGGAGTGGATTCGGCTTGGCTTCTGGAACGCGTTACTGCTGCGAGCACGCGGGCTGATTTTGTCAATAGAGCTGGCTCCGCACCGGGCGGTTCGATGTCCCCTGATAGTGTTTCTCCAGATGTAGGATCGACTACAGATTTTACGCGGGGTCTTCCACCTTCATGAATTTCTCTGCGATCTTTGACACATGCTCCAAATGTGCATTCTCGGTCATGTCCGTAACGTCCCATGGCTCATCCAGAATCAAAGTCTTCGTGGTCAAATAATCGGCAGCCTGATTGTACTCCCGCTTCAGATGTACCAGATATAACGATCCGAACTTCTCTTTCAGCAGCTCAACTTTGATGGGATGATTTTGGAGATGTGGTTGATTGCAGTTGATCAGTCCTTGAACCTGTTGAATAACAATTCGAGAATCTCCAACTGCGACCAAATCTTGCAATCGCATTTCAATGGCCATCTCGAGTCCTTTGAGAAGTCCATGGTACTCGGCATCGTTTACCTTGACATTCTCTAACAGGAAACCCTTCGCTTTCAGAACCTCCAACCGGGAGCTGCCATAGTACACAACCCCAGCTCCCCTTCCTGGTAGAAAGCTTTGCAGCACCATAGAAACTCAGAACGACTCCTTGGAAGTTGCTTCCCAACATCTCAACGCTCACTACTGGGGGTCTCGAACATGTCCCTTCAGAGGGATCAATGTCTCAACGGCGTCATCCAAATGTTCTCGTGGTGTGATCCCTGCACCCATGATGACTGCAAGTCCGTCTTCATTCTTTTGGACTTTCTGGATTTCTATATCCCAATGTGAAAGCGTGACTCCCCAAGGAACGCACCTCCCGTCTGCCTTCTTGACTGTAACACCCATTTCAGAACAGAGTATCTTGTGTAGATGATCAGTTGTCGGCCTTCCAGAATCGTCCGAAAGACTTGCAGCGCCCTCAGGATGACAATTACCCCCTTCTCGGCAATGTGGTACCGGAGCCCGGCGTCGTTCGGAACGCGTCCTTTATACCGAACAGGTTGTATCTTTCCGTCGTATTCTTCCCCTATGACTGGACATACAGTCCACCGGTTCGCGTGCGGGATAACCACAAATGGCATTTGGATATCCGGATGTCTTAATTTTGGTGTCGCAACGATCTTCCTTTTAGTTCGAAAGATTCATGAGCTCGTGAGACATCCCGTCCCTGACATATCTGGTCTTCTGAAAGTTCATAGAGAATTGTTGCACTACCGGAAAGTCCTCAATGAACTTGTGGTAGTAGTTTGACTTCCGAGAAACGATAGCACACCTTTGTGGGATTTGTGGAACGGTACCTTTCTCAACTATTGGGGTCGCTCGGATACCTTCTGCACTAATCTCGTGTGACAGATAGAAGATCGACCGCTTTCCAAACTGGCTCTTCGGTAAAACTCACTGATATATTCCAGTAACGTAAGCGATAAAGCAGGGTATCCACATCTTCACAAAGCTGATCCCATGTTTTTGCACCATGGGCAATATCGTCGATGTAAGAACTACCGGGCCAATGTGTGAACGCATGGTAATATTCCTTTCGAAAACGGTCATGGAATCCGTGAGTCTCTTCTCTCGTTATTTTGGCGGCCACTATCAGATTCTTGGTTATCTGTAGGGTCCAAACCTAGAAAGTCCAACGCAGCTTGATCGACTTCTACTTCTTCTTCCGGAGGCAATCTCACAAATCCCCACAGGCAGTTGTTGATAACCGACTGATATATCAGCGGCGCATTCTTGAGTCCGAATGGCACGCGAGTCCATTGGAAGTGTCCAAATGGACAGACAAACGCTGATATCAGCTTCGCCCTTTCAGACATCTTGACTGCCCAAAAGCAATTGGACATATCCAAACTCATAAACCACATGACATCCCCAATCCAACCAGCAGATCATCTATCAACGATAGCGGATAATTCGCACCGCAATGAATCCATTGCCAACCCGATAGTCGACACACATTCGGATATCCACACTATTTTTCTTTAGGACGATCACAATGGGTGATGCTGTGGTGGAGCGGGATCAGCAAAATCTGCGAAGATGCTGGATC